CTGTATGTTCCCTAGAATATCCATTTCAACTTCAAATTTTTTAAAGCTGTTAAATAAAATTTATAAAATGAATTAGGTGAATAAAAAACATCTTTTGATTTATAGTTATATCGGAAAATCATCGTTTGTAAAGTGAAAGGCATAGAGTCTATGTGAAATGATCATTGCATCAATCATGAAACCAGCCTATTTCATAATTTGGTTTTTTTTAATATCAATTTTAGATTTTCTATAAAATGATGTTCCAGGGCCGAAAAGGTTATATATATAGCGCAAATATGTGAAGTACACCTGCAGTATGGAAACAGTACAACAAAATGGACGTTTTACACTTTTTTCTAGTAAATTCCTCTCTAATATATATTCTATTCTCTTTTTTTTAGACCTTTGTCTGATTAATAAGCTGGAAGATATCGTCGTTAGCTTAAAAAGTGTTTAGTTCAGACAACTAAGTCACTGATTTAGAGAACACAAAATTAAAAATTAATAGAACTTGGTAATACACATAGATATCTGGTTTATTCTTGATCAAACCAAGCTATTCAGGCTACCGTTGGGAATCGGACATGAAGGGTCACTTGAAATTATGTTTATAACAATTATTTTATAGGAAAATAAATGAGCTAAATAACCTTGAAATCGATGGTGACCGTTTTACACTTTTCATTTTCATTTTACAAAGTCAAAATTCAGATAAAACATCAAATATGTATTGTCTGAGGGCCTATCCTTGCTTTTTCCTGTACCAGGAAAAAACCTGTATAACGGATAAAAAGAAAATAATTGATTACCATGCCTCAAATGTAATCCCTATATTTATGTAACCTGAGTCATATTTAAACTATGCAATCAGACAGTGCTGGGAACTTTAGAATTCTGAATATCCACTGTGGAAACTTTTAATTTTATTTTTAATCCGCTCTTTTTGGATATCAGATATCCTACTATATGTAAAGATACGTTTGATGACAAATACAGCTATAGCGATGCTAAATCAACAGAACTAATATACGATTGAACTAAAGTCAGCTGCTCGCATGCCGGCTTTCAGAGCAAGAGGAAACAAATACAAATTTGATCATGCTAATATGAACTTATTAAATAATGTATTTGATCACTTTTGAGGACAAAAGTCTTTTTGAACGTTAGTCCTAATAAACATTAATCCAAAACTTACGTCCGTTCTATCGATTATTAGTCCATTTGATATGACACCGAAAATGCAGAAAAATTAAAAACCGGTTTTTCAAAAGTTAAAGAGCGCATCTCTAATCTCTAGAATTTAATCTAGAGACTAAATTAGTCTTGAGATTAGCAAAAAGAGAGGATTAAGCTTTGAACTAGTCTAAAGTTTCCTGCTCAGATCAAATTAAGAGTCAGATTCAGAAATTTGAATTCAAAGAATTTTATTCAAGTAATGATTTACTTTTCATAAATTAAAGAAACATCTGACAAAACGATGAATTCAAACTGTTATTGATTCAGTTTTTCACATTTCAATTTTTGCGACCAGTCCTCTTGATAAAAACTTCCCGGTTCTCCTTTCATCCTTTTTTCTCACTCGTATTCTGTTTTGCTGTTTATATTTAACGAAATTGTATATATTTAGATATATTGGTTAAAAATAATACAAACAGTGATAAAATACATTTTTAATAAAAACAAACAAATTCATACTTACAATATGCTTGGTACCTACGATCACTCATTGCACGTTGTTCTTGACTTTCTGTTTTTGGAAAGGATTTTTTAATATCTTTTTACATGGGGTGGGTATATAATATATATAATAAAATAAAATATGAAAATTGAATTTACTATAATTTTTCAAAAGACAATATTTTGATAAAATGATTTTGAAGAAATTTGGGTCTTTTTAAGTTTACAGGGAGAATTTATGATTTCTAGATTTACAGGGAGAATTCATAATTTCTAGGTTTACTGGGAGAATTCATGATTTTCATGTTTACAGGGAGAATTCATGATTTTAAGGTTTACTGGGAAAATTCATGATTTCTAGGTTTATTGGGAGAATTCATGATTTCTAGGTTTATATGGAGAATTCATGATTTGTAGGTTTACTGGGAGAATTCATGATTTCTAGGTTAACAGGGAGAATTCATGATTTCTAGGTTTATTGGGAGAATTCATTATTTCCATGTTAACAGGGATAATTCATGATTTCTAGGTTTACAGGGAGAATTCATGATTTCTAGGTTTAAAGGGAGAATTCATGATTTGTAGGTTTACAAAGAGAATTCATGATTTATAGGTTTACAGGAAGAATTCATGATTTCAAGGTTTACAGGGATAATTCATGATTTCTAGGTTTACAGGGAGAATTCATGATTTCTAGGTTTACAGGGAGAATTCATGATTTCAAGGTTTACAGGGAGAATTCACGATTTCTAGGTTTACAGGGAGAATTCATGATTTCCAGGTTTACAGGAAGAATTGATTTGGTTTTGTAAACCTGAGTTTAAAGTTATGTCAAGTGGATCTCAAGGAGATGAATTCAAACTTCTCTCAATATCGTTGAGAACGAAATTCGTACTTTCCCAAACTTAAATCCAGTTTTAACTCAACTTAAGTCTGGAAAGAACAACTAAGTTTTGGTCTCCGGCGGTGTCTAGGATTTCTCACTTTGAATTCTGTTCTCCCAGACAGAAATAAGTTTGGATTTCCCTGAGCTGTTCTGGAAGGAAGGAATTTCCTAAAAATAAAAATGCATCAAATAAAGAATATGTAAAGAAATAAAATATATTTTTTTTGATTCTAAGATAAGTTTGTAAAACCTCGTTTTCTTCTTCGAATTCTTCTTCTTCTTTCTGTTTCTCCTCTCCCTCAACCCCCTCAACCCCCTCCGCTACCTCCATAGTATCTTTGCTCAGATCAGTTGTAGAACTGAAAAATATAAAGCTTCAAATTATTCTTAAATTCTAATTGCTTAATCCCAAAATCTGTACAGCAAACTATCGATATTTTAAACTGTGCCTGTTTGATTTAGCTAAATTAATAGTTCAAAATATCAAAGGTCTACGACAGTGCAGGCTGCACTGACATATGGATTAGAAAATTAGAATTTGAGGAGACGAGTGATCAGTCCCTTACATTCTAAATTTGCATATGTTCCTATGTTTTGGCCGCCAAGCTTAATATCATTGAATTTCGATTGTTTTTCTTGAAATATTTCCAATTATTAGGTATAGCAGAATTATCAAGGTTCAATATAAAGGAATTGAGTCTTAGCCACAAACTCAAACAATCCTATCCCTAGATATTTGCAACCTGATGGTGTGAAGATTTGATATTTAAAACATAGATTACTTGAAATTTAGAGTTTATATATCTCAGGTCTACAACATTGGTTGCATATAGGGGTTATAAATTTGAGTTTGTGGCAAAGACTTCCTTTACGATGATATGTTACACTATTACTACTCTGCTTATCAAGTAGAATTATAATCCTTGACGAATCTAATTTAAACTTTTAATAAGTTATATTTGTTTTCAACTATAACCTCATAGAACCGAGTTATAACGAATCTTATAAAAACATGATTAAATAATTTTATGAAAAAAATATTTTGAACTGCAAGCTTGAAAAAATAGAAAACCCAAAAAAATACGATTTAAATCAAGTTTTACGAACTTTTTTTGTAATTACTTAAAGCACATTTTTTCAAATAAAGGAATTGAGTTTTTGCCGCAAACCCAAATTTTCTAATCCTTATATCTTTGCAACCTAATGTTGTAAACTTTTTTAAACTGTTTGGTCTGACAGGATGTATAGTTTAAAATATCAAAGGTCTAGAACATCGGGTTGCTGAGATTAAAAAATTAGAGTTTGTGGCAAAAACTTAATTCCTTTTTAAAAGTCCTAAATCTATGTCAATAAGAAATATAATGTTTATATTAAGAAAACACAATAGAAATTATGCAGTTGAAGGTTTTTCTATTCTTTATTTACAGAAACAATGGAGGTCCAACTATTTCTATGTGTAATTTCAAACTTTAAGAAACCTCGTTCAAAATGTAGAAATACACTCAACTTAAACTTTTAAACAAGAGAAAGTAATCTTTTTCAATGAAAAATGTATCCATTCTTTTAAAAGTAAATCAATTTAAGGAAAACAGAAAATTTAAATGTGTTTGAAATTTCGTTCGAAGACGTAAATCAGCTATATTATTGCTTTTCGTAGCAGATTTATTGGATTTTCTTTTAAAAAAAGGTGTTTTTAAGGCAACATGCATAAATATAAGAAAAACATAGAAAGAAGTAATTTAAGAATTAATTTTTATTACTACGAGAATGAATATCAAGAAATTTTACAATCAAGAAGTTAGAAACAGTTTATGAACTTTAATGTTTCCTTTTAAGCTTAAGTGTCAGAAAGTGTGTAAACCTAATTCTTGAAGTTTACAACATTTTAATCTGTCCTGGGACTGGTTGGTTCCCCCCTGGAGAATATGTATATAGAGGAAAATAAAAACAAGAAAATAAACTTGTTGTTATATTTGTATTATTCATGTACTAGCTTGGGAACCCAGCGTTGCCCAGGTTACACATGATGAAAGTCGGTCATGGGGTTCCTGAGTTATGATTGTGCATTCAAATAGACAAACAGAGATTACTACTTTATATATATGGCTGTATTGTCAAAGACTTTCAAAATCCTTTAAAAGGGACTATACCTAGTTTTTAAAAACAATATTATACTTTAAAAAATGTTTTTCTTGATAATTTTTAATATCTGCAGATTTTATTTTAGACCTAAAATGCGGTCAGTGGCAGGTTTAAGACTTTAAGCCATTCCTTGGATCAAATACATACTGCTTAGAAAAGTTTCCTTGTACTGGTAAAATAACAAAAGAACCGGGATGACGAATTTAAAGTCTTAAATCGGGGCATTCATGTCTTATATTTCCTGGAATCCCAGGCTTGGTCAGAGATACAACACAAAAGTGTTTTGTATTTATATATAAATATATATATATATTTACCTGAACAACCAGAAAGGAATTAAGTAGTAGCCTCAAACTATAATTGCCTGAGTTTCTGGAAAATATTCAATTCCTTTCTTAGTCGAAGCACTGGCCATTTTAGTTTGAAACTTTGGTCATTTGTGCAAATTGATAACTCGTATCAAACAATATTATTAAAAACCTTCTTGATGGCGTAAACTTTTCTTAGCTTTTATAGAATTTATAGTTTGTAATATCAAAGGTCTACAAATTTTGTCTCCCTCAAACCAATAAAAGTTTTTATAAACTATGTTAATACTCTCTTCAAATTGTTAATTTTTTAATATTATTTTTAGACATCAAGATTTTTTTAGAAAAAGCCTGCTTGCAGAGTTTAGAATTTAAGAATAATATCCATATTCTTGATTAGGATAGAGCATCTTTATCGCAATAAAACGCTGATGTTTAATAACGAACCAACGAATGTTTGCCCATCATTATCCATAAAGGAATTGAGCCTTTGCCACAAAATCTGATTTTCTTTATCCTTACAACCCAATTTCATAGATCTTAGATATTTCAAACTATGATTTTTTTCAAATCAATAATCTAAGTTTGAAATACCAAAGGTTTACACCATGAGGCTGCAAAGATATTTGAGATTTTCATGAAGAGTTTTACCTGAATTTTATCAATCGCAGTTTTATGTTTCCTAGTTTCAGCAACAGGTGGAGATACTTTCGGTTGGGCTTTGTGGACCTACACAAATATTTATATATTTATATATTTAGGGGGATTGGAACTATAGCTAGAGCACAGATATCTAGACAACTATGAAAGTTATGCATTAAATTTAAAGACCGCGCCGACTTTCAATTGTGTCGCACTACCCTGTAGATGGCAATTTTTGTGAGAGAGCGGAGGTTACACGTTAAAGCAAAGACCCAATATTTAATAAAAGCAAAGACCTAATATTTAATAAAAACAAAGACCTAATATTCAATAAAAGCAAAGACCCAATATTTAATAAAAGCAAAGACCTAATATTTAATAAAAGCAAAGACCTAATATTTAATAAAAACAAAGACATAATATTTAATAAAAACAAAGACCTAATATTTAATAAAAGCAAAGACTATATGTGTAACCTGAAATTCTTGAAATATAAATAGAAAGTGCAAATGTTAAAAGGTAAATAAATGATCTGCATGGTAAACAAACATGGAAACATGTTTAAAAGCTTTAAATAATGTTTCACCGACAGAACGGTGATTTATATTTTCAAAATTGTAACATAGCCTTTTAATATATTTTTTTTAGGTCCATCTTTATTAATTGTGGCTTAAATATCGAAACAAAATCTTTTAAAAAAAGGTTTTAAAACAGAGGGGTTTTATCTAAATAAAATATTTTTCAAAAAGTGGTCAGATTTAAATAAAATTGTTAAAAAAAGGGGTAAGGTAAGGGGTATAAACTAGACCATAAATTCAAATTAGATTTTAAAAGAAAATTTTAAGTTTTTTTTTCATGGATTGTCTCTTTAAGGCTGTGCAATATTCTTGCAAGTTTGCTAGGATTGAGAAGTTTGCACAGATTCTCCGAGGATGATTTGCATGAAACTCCTGCGAATTGATTGATTGATTGTTAGACCAAATATTGGTGTTTTAATGGTAAAATATGCAGGCGGCAGAACATTTATTAAACAATACAAAACCTCAACTGGAAACTTTTGAACTAAAAAAGAATGAGTTAAACTCGTTTTTAATGAACAGGGTTACCCACAAAGAATAATAAGACTTTAGATTTATGATTTCCTTCAACTATAAACTTATTTCTTTCTTTGCCAAATCATAAAATAAACCATTTAAACAACACATTTAAGGCAGAAGATTTGTTTTTAACTTTAAATCGTTGGATTTGCAGAGTTTTTGGTCGTCTTTACAGTCTAATTCGTTGGGTTTAACATTGAATAGTAAAAAAATTTAAAAATCAATATTTACAAACAAGTTAAACCTCTAAGGTTTAAAAATGTTGGTTATAGTTAAGTAACTAAGGTTTCGAACCTTAAACTTAAACTTATTGAAAAGTTACTACCTCTGGAGGAAAGGATAGAACGAAGAGATATTATTGGTAAAAAATAAATTTGAAATTCCGAAGAATTGGAAAAGGAAAAGGTTTAAAAGCTAAAAAGCAGAAAATATGTTAAAAATGAAAATAAAAAGTAATTTAAAATATATGCAAGCATTTTAAATCAGAAAGCGAATGATTAAAAAATAAGGTTTTTGAAACAATTTTAAAGGAAAACTAAAAATAATAAAATTGATAAAAATGTTAAAAAATAATTAATTAATGTGACAAGGATTAAAAGAACGCTGTAATTTAGAAAGGTTGAGAAAGGGTGAGTGAATAAGTAAGTAAAGAAAGGATGAGTAAATAAGTAAGCAAAGAAAGGATGAGTAAGTAAGTAAGTAAAGAAAGGATAAGTAAGTAAGTAAGTAAAGAAAGGATGAGTAAGTAAGTAAGTAAAGAAAGGATGAGTAAATAAGTAAGTAAAAAAAGGATGAGTAAATAAGTAAAGAAAGGAAGAGTAAATATGTAAAAAAAGAATGAGTAAATAAGTAAAGAAAGGATGAGTAAATAAGTAAATAAAGAAAGGAGGAAAATATGACAAACTAAAGGATGAAGTTACAGGCATCTAGGCCCGAACTTAATGCATCGGAGGGATAACTGAACTACCTCCCGCCGGTTCAAATCCTAAATCACAGATTCAAATCCTAATGAATCTTTAACTTTAATCAGTGATTCAGTATTTAAACTGGCGGAAGTTCAGAGACCTTTCTCAAATTAATCAAATTCCATCCTAGGATGAATGAATATTTAGCATAAATAAACTCTATACCTGGGGTTTCCTAAGATGAATAACTGAATTATCAGGTTGTGTGAATGCTGTCACCTTCCCTCCATTACATATAAACTCTTGCATGATCCTACTCCGAGGTGGTAGAACCACTGGACGATAGAGAGCTGGATCAAATTTTCCACTGCAAATATATTAATACATTACAGATAAACTCCTGCATGATCCTACTCCGAGGTGGTAGAACCACTGGACGATAGAGAGCTGGATCAAATTTTCCATTGCAAATATATTAATACATTACAGATAAACTCCTGCATGATCCTACTCCGGGGTGGTAGAACGACTGGACGAAATTTTCCACTACAAATATATTAATGCATTACTCAAGGACAGGGAATCGTTTATTTAATCCGTTTTATTTTTAGATTCGAGGATTTTTGGATTTTTCGTGTCTAACATTTATCCTCCAGAAGTACATTAGCTTTTTCTCACTGAACGAGTGTATACTTTGTCAGAAGAAATAGGCCTGTGGCCGAATTTAAAGAATTTGAGCGGCGGTTTAAATTTAAGGCGCGGTTTAAATATGGTTGGTTCCACTTAAAATTGTATCAAATGTTTCAAGATTTTAGCCGGCGCTGAATTTAAACCGGGTTTTAGCGGATTTAAACCGCGGCTCAAATTCTTTAAATTCCATCTCAGGACACTATACTCAAGACACAATTAAACGGTCAAAGAAACTGATTATTTGCCACCCACAAATAATGATTTTTATCAATCTCTATTTCTTTGCAACCTAATGTCGTAGACATTTAACCTTTCAAACTACATAAATTCTGCAAGCTTTATAAGTTAGAAATATCAAAGGTTTACTGCACCATCAACTTGCAAAAATAGGGGAGAGACCTCATAGCTCTTCTAATTTTGATTTTACAACAAAGAATGAAAAAGCCAAGTAAACTTTTTTCTACAGATGTTTATAATAAGATAAAAATTATTTTTTAAATTGTAAAATGTGCATCATACTGCATAGTTGATATGAAGCAAACCTTTAGAGACATACAATAGTTTTAGGAATTAAGAAGCACATTTTCTAACACCTATATATTCTTTGCGCCCAAATGGTGCAAATCCTTAATATTTCAAACTTGATCTAATGGAATTCATAGTTTAAAATATCTAAAGTCTACGACATTGGGTTGCAAAGATATAGAGATTAGAAAAAGAGAGTATGAATAAAAACGATAAAAACAAAGATGAAAGTGCAATCTGATGCAGTTTTTACCAATACCTTCTCAGCCGTCCGATACAAATATAATTCAGGGTCTAATCTACCAAATTTGGGAAAATAAAAATAAACTTTTTCTTTTTATCCTTTACTTTTCTTAGATAATCGAAAAGTTAAAATTTCATTTAGTATTTATTTATTGCACTTTGGACTGAATTCGGAATGAAAGATGTTTCATAAATTTTTAGAAAAAAATAGCTTTAAAGGGAGTGTAGACATTATTTTAAATGATCCTCCATGTTGGCGTAGCGTTTCTGATTCACAGCAGTACCCTTTAAACCTTTGACTGAGGAATGATGACGGACCGTCTAAAGAAACTAAAAACTTAGTTTCTTCAAAATATAAATATTTTCCTTTTAAAAGTCGCTGAAAATTTATAGTTGTTCAGATTATCAGTAGTTCATATTATACAGTATTACCGTTTAATGGCAATTTCTATTTCAGAGATAAAAACACGGAGTTCTCTGCCCTCCTTGACCAGTAAAAGATTTAAAGTAAACATGACTTCAGCGGAATTAAGATTTCGCCACAAACTGAATTGTTTAAATCACTATATCTTTGCAACCTTTAGATTATTTAATCTAACAGATTTCATATTATGAAATATCAAAGGTCTACAACATCGGGTTGCAAAGATATAGGGATTAGAAAATCCGATTAATATCAAATGAAATATGCACATCTACATTTCCCCTCCAGTTTCAAAGTGTAGCCAATAATTGTCGGAAACGTATTGACATGTTAGAATGGTTTAGGTTATATTATAGTTTGCAAAAAGAATTCAAATTTCAACTACAACTCCTACAACAATAAAATAAATTCACAATTCGCCCATATGGTTGCAACACTTTTGCCTAAAGGAACCAGGACGCTAGTGTCAAACTGATATTTTCTTAACCCTTTGTTTTTGCAACCCGATTTTTGCTAACTTTTTTGATCTTACAGATTTCGTAGTTTTAAATATCTTAAGGTCTACGACAGAAGTCAGACTATGGTGTGAAATGTTACTTATCTACTGCAGTGTTTGATCGAGAAATCAATTTAATCTGAACAAGATGGCCGGAAATCAAATTAATCTGCACAAGATGGCCGGAAATCAAATTAATCTGCACAAGATGGCCGGAAATCAAATTAATCTGCACAAGATGGCCGGAAATCAAATTAATCTGCACAAGATGGCCGGAAATCTAATTAATCTGCACAAGATGGCCGGAAATCAAATTAATCTGCACAGGATGGCCGGAAATCAAATTAATCTGCACAAGATGGCCGGAAATCAAATTAATCTACACAATATGGCCGGAAATCAAAATTAATCTGCACAATATGGCCGGAAAACAATGCTTGATCTTGAGATTTCAAAGTTAAAAGGACCGGTCAATTATTTGGTTCTGGGTAAACTAAATAGCCTATCAGCTATCCATTGGTATTTATAACTGTGGCCGGTGAAAAAGCCGATCTACGCTAAAATTACCGAAATAAGGAAACGGTCCCTTTAAGGGGAAGGTTTCTTTTCTTGTTGATGAATGCAAGTCCCTTAATTCTTCTTGTTAAAGGTTGACAGAGAGTCCCTTTGATTTTACTTTTTAATGACTGACAGTTCCTTTAATTTTAATTTTTAATGACTGACAGTTCCTTTAATTTTAATTTTTTAATGGCTGACAGTTCCTTTAACTTTACTTTGTTAATGGCTGACAGTTCCTTTAATTTTACTTTGTTAATGGCTGACTGTTCCTTTAACTAGATTTTTAATGACTGTCCCTTTAACTTTACCTGTTTGAGTGTGGTTTAACAACTGAAGGTTGTGTGTATGAATGACTGGCAGGATGCTTGAGGTTCAAGGTCTCCGGCTGCAGGGGAGTAGGGTCAACTTGGACAGGAGAATCACTCAGCATATTCTCCCTAGAGTACAGAGGGTTTAAATAAACTTGTCTGATTTATTTTAGGGGCTTAATTACTCGTTTCAAACTCTAATTTTCTAATTTGAATATCTTTGCAAACTGATGTTGAAGATCTATGATCTATGAATTCTCCTAGATCTAAAAGTTTGAAATATTAAAGGTTTAAATCATCAGCTTGCAAAGATATAAGAAAATTAGAGTAATCAGTTCCTTTATAAAATCGAAAGGATATTCAAAACAATGCATTATACAATTTATAAAAGACGAGTTAAAATATTTATTTTTCTACATTTTAAATAATTTAGTTCATTTACATTTATATATATGCAAGAATTTCTCATAAGTGTTGAGAATAAGAATTATTAGAAAATGTATTAGCATTGAGAGAGGTATTTAAATATATGTAAATATAAATATTTATAAATATGTAAAATACAAAAATATTAATCCAAAAACAAGAATTGTATTAGTTTGTACTTGATTTATAAAATTGTTATAGTTCTATAAAATTATAGCTTGAGTAGAGATGGATCGTTTCCATTTTTTTTAAACGTTCGTTTTGTTTTGAAAAAAAACGAAAAAAGTTTTTTAAACCGATCGCTTCTTTAAATATCGTTTTTTGAAAACGGTTGTTTTTCGTTTTATAGAAAAAACTATCGTTTTAATTTTAAAGACGACCGTTTTTCGTTTTAAAAACGATCGTAATTGAACACAATCCTTCTTTAACAACCATTAAAAACGACCCTTCGTTAATGACCGTTAACGACCTTCAATAGAAAATACAGTTTTGGTCAGGTTATTTATTTCGAAATAAAAAGTTTTGATAACATGCATAACCTTATCTTTATGAAAAAAAAATTCAATTAATTGTCATAGAACTCAGATTCATGAGCGAATTTTTTTTTAAACGATCTTTTCAAAAAAAAATATTTTTTTTTAAAAAACGACAGTTTTCGTTTAAAAAAAACATCGTTTTTCGTTTTTAGAAAATTCAAAACGAGTGGTTCGTTTTCCGAAACTATCGTTTTATCCAAAAACGAAACGATCGTTTTAAGAAAAAAAATTAGAACGAAAAGAAAATCTATCGTTTTTTCGATCGTTTTTAAAAACGATTAACAACACTACTTGAGTACCCATTTTTGCCTGGAATTTATCTATTAAAGTTAACCCAACCATTTTTGAATTGTTAACCCAGGCTAAGCCAAACAGAATGTGAGGCAAATCAGTAAAAGGGTTCATAAGTTATGATCGGACAATAAAACAAACAGACACACATAGATCACTAAATACTTTATATATAAAGATAACAAAATAATATAATAAAAAACTTGTCTATTTTTAGCTAAACTGATTCGGAGAAAGATGGTGGGGGAAATTTGAAAGTTAAATAATTCTTAAAATAGATTTTATTGAGCTCAATTTGCCAAGCAGCAAAATTAAACAATATCAAATTGACTGGCAACAATTTAAAAAATGTTGTTTAGTTGTGACAATTAAATTAGTAAATTTTTATTTTAAAAATATTTTCTTTCGTCTGATTTAGATGAATTTTAAGTTTTAAAGATTTTTAACCCTATTTTAGGGAAAAAGCTATTTTTTTCTCATTAAATAAAAATAATTTAACAACCAATTTTCCATCCATTTTAAAGACATTTCATTAAAAAAAATTCAATGTTTTTATGCCTGAAATCCGAAGCATACAAATATTTTGAAAAATTTGTGAATAACATCGCTAATCCCGTTTTCTACTCACCATCTAATTTTTTTATGTGAACGAAAATGTATAAAATACAACGAACCTTAATCTCCTGAGCTCATCCTCCCTCTCCTTGAGCTCCTTGATCTCCTTGGCGATCTTGTCCTCGGTCGGGTTCGAGGTTCGAGGAGAAGGAGTATCCGGGGTGTCCGGAGCACTTTCTCCGCGTACTCCCCAAACCCGGAGATTCTGGGACGGAGTCTCAAAACTCAGAATATCCTAAATAAAGGAACTGAGTTCTGGTCACAATTCAAAGTTTCTTATCCCAATATATTTGCTGCAACCTGATGGTTTAAACCTTTGATATTCCAAACTTAGAATATTTGATCTTTAAGAATACATAGTTTAAAAATATCTAAGGTCTACCACATCGGGTTGCATAGGAATTAAAAAAAACAGAGTTCGTTGCAAAAACTCAGTTCTTTAGAAAATCAAAATAATTTATCAAGAGTAATATGTACGAATAAAATATTGACAGGAAAAAGTTATAAAAATGCACAAAATGAAACTTAACAGGAAAAATTGCTTAAAGTTCTTTAAAAATAATTAAAAAAAATACTTTAAATAATTGGAAAATCTTTTTATCATCGTTTTTCCCGAACACTCCCTTTAACAAGCACTATGCATTTTAGTTTAGCATATATCAGCTGTGAAGTTATATTGTTAACAAATGCATTTCTCCGCAAATATCTCATTTGTAAATCTATCTTGAGGTCAGGTTTAGTCAGGTTTAGTCAGGTTTATTAGATTTAGGTTTCTCTTCTTGTGCTCCGACAAATCTAGACTGTCCGATCTAATCAAATCAATTTTGCAGGGAGGCCCACAATACACATGAAAGGTAAATAACTTAGCTATGTCGTCTATTTCAAAAGCCGTGTAACATACCGCTCGCTTCTTCAGAAACCTTTGTACTACCTTTGTGATGAATTTCTACCGTACCGCTAACTTGTACGTACAAGAATATTTGTGCCGTCACATCTTTTGATGAATATGTACCGTACCGCAAGCTTGTAAAGGAATATTTATACCGTCCGGTCTATTAATAAACATGTATCGTACTGCTAGCTTGTAAAGGAATATTTGTACCGCCACGTCAATTGATGAATATGTACCGTACCACCAGCTTGTACAGGAATTTTTTTAATGTCCCACTCATGGCCGGATAACTATGTACTGTAACACAAGCATGTACACACACATGTACTGTCCTGTCGAATTGTTAATATTTACCGTATCAACGCTTCTTCTTCAATGTAAAGTAATCGGGACACACGCACCTGAAAATCTTCACTATGCTTTGAGTTGAGGCTGTTTTGAGAATCCCTCCGTCCGAACTCATATTTTTGAAGAGGTTTGGTTTGCTCCGGGATAGGAGCTGTCTGCAGGATTCCTGCATTCTCATAAATACATTCCCTAAACATATTCTTCTAATAACACTCATCTCTACACAGTGAGAACCAGAAAATTGTTGAATAAGCAGACGTCATTATAGCAATCCTCTATTTGATGTTGATACAAAGCAAAGAGTTTTACGATAGTAACTTATAAATCACTTATTAGATTAAATAGGGCTGTTTACATAATGCAAATTCTGTGTCTTATGTTCATTGGACTGTTAAAGTCATAACTTGTGTCTCCTTATTCCAGAGTTTTCTTTTTCTCACTGTAGCTTAACCAAAATATGTTTTTTCTTCCTAAACAATACGAATAAACAATTTTAGAGGATATCTAAGATTTTTGAGTATTTCTAAAGCTCCCCCAACGTTTTTAAGAACCCCAACTGCATTTACAGAAACATCGTAACCGCATAAATAGTTCCTATCAAACATGAATATCATCAAGATTGGCCCTATCCCCAAAAAAAAAATCGTTTGCATTAAAGGGAGTGACCGGCAATGTAAGGTAGTTGAACTGAGTATGCAGTGTTGTGGAAAACAATTCTTTCGGATTCATTTGAGACATATTAAACTTTTTAAAGATCTGTAAATCCTGAGTTTGAGCGCAAATTTGACGTTTAAAACTCCTACTTTGGGGGTGGATACGTTTTCAGAATCGGTTTTTTTTAATTACTAAATAACGACGACGAAAAATAAAGTAAACATCACACAGTAAACTAAGTAGATGGTTGGGAACATATTTCTAAAAAGAAATTTGTCAATAAATCAATGCTAGAATCAATTATTTCGTTTTTATTATTATATTGAATTTCTTGTCTTCTTTGAATTTATTCGCAGATTTCTTTAAATTCTTCAAATGTCGTCTTTTCAATAATAATTCTAGAAAATCTGCAGAAAACCACACGGAAAAAGAGGAACCATTTTCAGGACTAAAAATAAATTTAAAATAAATATATTATATTTATTTTAATTATAACAGTTAATTTTTATTTTTTCAACCTGTTCCGATACATGACGTCTGTACTTTATTGAAAAACTTTTTACATTTTATGTCGTCGTTATTTAATAATTTAAGAAAAACTAATTCTGAAAACGTATCCACCCCCTAAATAGGAGTTTTGAACGTCGAATTTGCACTCAAACTCATGATTTACAGATCTTTAAAAAGTTTCGTATGTCTCAAATGAATCCGAAAGAAGTTTTCCACAACACTGCATACCCAGTTCAACTACCTTACATAGCCGGTCACTCCCTGTAAACTTAGCATGTTTTCAATCATTATACTGAAGACAAAAATCGCTAAAAAATGCTATTGCTTGATTTTTGGAAAATGCAAATGATGATCAAACAAAAGTCAGAAATCCCATGGGAATGATGATAACTGATACTCTAACCTACATTTTGAAATTGTATGTTGAATGGTGGAGGGCAACCACGAGCTAGTGGTTGTACTTTATAGTTCTTAAACTCAAAAAAACTGCGGATCCTTTACCAACAGAACCATTAAAAACATTGTCTGTTTAAGATATTGTTTATCTTCTCTTTGAAATTTGATTATTTTTAATTGTGGTTTCTTTGTAAAGTAACAATGGAGAATGACCCACTTTTTAAAGTTTAAAAACGACTATATCTTGCACATTAAAAGATTTAAACAGTAACAATGGGAATCGGTCATGCTCCTCTATTAATCAAAAATCGCATAAAATGACCACGACGTTCAAGTCTCTGTAAACTATGGATCTATGTTTGTTTACTTTGGTTAGATATTAAATGAGAGACAAAACTAACCTCCATAAGAAAATGTTGACACACTAGATTGAGAATGAATGACATATGGTTGTTTGTGAAGAGAAGTCGAGAGTAAAAAAAGTTTGCTTACCCAGCATCATCCGCAGAGAAATGAACAGTTGATTTTACAGTTTCACTTCCGGTTTCGATTTCGGTTTCGATTTCGTCTTCAGTTTCAACTTCAGGTTTCACTACAGTTTCGACTTCAGGGTTGAGCTCGGTATCAAGTCCATTTTCAAGTTCGGGTTCGAGTCCATTTTCGAGTCCGTTTTCAAGTCCAGTATCGATTCCAGTTTCGAGACCAGTTTCGAGACCAGTTTCGAGTCCGGTTTCGAGTCCAGAGTCGACTGAACCGTCGGAGTCGTGATTCTGATCATCCATCCTTCCTACAATAGATAGACTATACAGATATTTGATATAGATAATTTAATAACAAGTTAGTAGTTCTATGTAAACCAACCTAGAGTGCAAACGAACCTTGAAGTGTTTTTACATAATCATCGAGTAGGTGTCAGGTATATCGAGTAGGTGTCACGTATTGCGAGTAGGTGTCACGTATATCGAGAAGGCGTCGTCACGTACACCAAGTAGGTATCACGTACATCGAGTAGGTGTTACATATATCGAGTAGGTATCACGTATATTGAGAAGGTGTCACGTATACCGNTGCAAACGAACCTTGAAGTGTTTTTACATAATCATCGAGTAGGTGTCAGGTATATCGAGTAGGTGTCACGTATTGCGAGTAGGTGTCACGTATATCGAGAAGGCGTCGTCACGTACACCAAGTAGGTATCACGTACATCGAGTAGGTGTTACATATATCGAGTAGGTATCACGTATATCGAGAAGGCGTCACGTTCACCAAGTAGGTATCACGTATACCGAGTAGGTGTCACGTATAATATAAAATTACGACTGTTCAACCACCTTGAAGGATCTGATTATTCACATTAAACTCTAATTTTTTTAATCCTTTTATCTTTGAAACCTGATGTTGAAAAACTTTAATTATCTGATCTCGTTGAATTACTAGTTTGAATTATCAAAGATCTTTGCCGGTCTTAAGAAATAGAAAATTAAAGATTCTGGCAAGAATATCAGTTTTTTAGGAGCGTTTTGCTATAATTAACAGAATTCCAAACAAAAATAAATTGAGTCTTTGCGATAAATATGAATTCTCTAATCTATATATATCTTTAAACCTGATGGTGTAAACCTGTGATACTCCAAACTTAAATGATTATAATATAATTCAAAGATCTGATATACGTTATATAAAGATCTGATATAAAGATCTGATATCCGTTATATAAAGATCTGATATCCGTTATACAAAGATCTGATATCCGTTATATAAAGATCTGATATCCGTTATATGAAGATCTCATATCCGTTTTTAAAATACACTTTTATGAAAAAATATTCTATGTTTTAAAATCTTAAAGAGTCTGAAGACAAAAAAGTTTTTTTCTATATTTACAATATTTTTTTTGTAAAAAAAAAATTTCAAGGTGATTTTGTTAATATAAGTGTTAGGGCAAAAAACAAGAAAGAAAGATCTGATATCCGTTATATAAAGATCTGATATACGTTATATAAAGATCTGATATCCGTTATATAAAGATCTGATATCCATTATATAAAGATCTGATATACGTTATATAAAGATCTGATATAAAGATCTGATATCCGTTATATAAAAACAAGAAAGGGGGGGGGGCGTAGAACGCCTCCCCCCAGCCTGTTTTAGTTTGCAGAGGAGACCGTTTTGTGAATCAGGCATTGCCATAATTGCCTGGAGAGCACTTGAAATTACGCTTACAATCCTATTTAGCAGTGTTAACTCTAGGATTAACATTTTTCATGTTTTTTAAATCTTATAAATAGTAGAAAGATTGATCACGTTTTGCCCCTTGGCACTCACGCGTATAGACAAGCTAGTGTTTTATAGCTTTAAACCCGAGAGAGAGAAAATATCTTTTCTAAATCTTAAAAAATAAAACTCATAATTACACAACTTCCAAGGTAGCTTGATTAGTGAAAAGGAAAAAATATAAAAAAGTGGAAATTTTTTCTCATATTTACATATATGATGTTTAAATCTAATATAAAGGTATATAAAAAACTTAGACAATAATTATACTTTCACTAAGTTGTATAATGTAAAAAATTATACGTGTTAAACCATAATGATGAGAAAAAGGTTTTTTTTTGCAGTTTATATAGAAAACGTAGAAATAGTAAGATTTATTGCCTTTTTACATAATAAAAAAATAAATGATTTGTTTAAGAAAGTTAAGATTTACTCTGAATTAGAATGAAATAATTAAAAAAAACTATTAAGTACTAAAAAGTTTGCAAGCACAAACAAAAGGTTCTCCTCTCTGCTTGAAACAAACCAGAGAACTGTAGTTGACACTGTATTGTAATATTTTATAATGAAACTACATCTAGTCAACAGCACGCCAACATTTACATAGAATAGGAACTTGACATTAGGCTTTCATGGAATACAACAATTAGCACGAACAAATTCTTTGCTTGAAGAGTTCGTCGTCTTGTGAAGTATTATAAAATAGTATAAAAGAAGTGTTTGCAAAAAAATGATTTTTAACTTAATTAAAAAATAGAAGACTCTTCAAGTCATATGTAGTATCAATTCTGTTATATTGTCTACACCGAGATATACTCGCGAATTTTTATAAATGTTTTTGTGGATTTCTTACAAATCTGAAGAAAATAAGATGATTTTGATTATTTCAAAACAGCGGTGCATGGAGAATGTTAGGGAACAGACTCATTTTAAGATTTTTAAAACTCAAATTGAAATCTAGAACTAAACTTAATGAATATTTATAGAATATAGAATACATATTTGTTAAGCAATTTACAGGCTTTAGTTAAATATGTCAATCATTTTTACATTTCTGATAATCAGACTTCTCTTTCTTCCCATACTTAATACTTCCAAACTTCAATTCTTCTCCTTTCCACTCCCCCCCCCCCTTTCCATCACACTCCTCCCCTTCTTTCCACTCCCCCCCTTCTGCTTCTACCCCCTTTCCATCCCACTCCACCCCTCCTTTCCACTCCCCCTAGCTCCCTTTTGCTTCTATCCCCCCTTTCCACCCCACTCAACCCCTCCTTTCCTTCACCTCTTCAAACCTTTTATGAAACTATAGTGTACTTTATCATTCTTCCTCACTTCATCGTGAATTTCATAATCATCGTGCTATAAAGTTAAATTAGCTGTACATTATAGCACGTGTGCTTTAAAGTTTTTATTGGTTCCTGGATTTTCTCCGGATTTTCTGCTTTGTTTCAAAGCTTATTTGATCTAGAAATAGCCATTGAAATAAGACAAGTACACAAACGTTTCATAAAATTACCAATAACACTTTTATTTTGGCACGACGGGCTATAACATTTTTGGACAAAAACTTTATAAGACTGGGAACCAAAATAACAGTGTTATAAATGTTATTATAGTATTTTAATTTCTATTTTAAAGCATGTTAGTTTGGGTTAGTTTGAAGTTTAGAGTTTGATAATATAGAAATAAAATTGTTAAAAATGTAGAATAAAGAAAGAAAAGGAAGAGTGTAGATTAAAGAAAAAAAAATATTATGGAGATTGTATAGTGTAAAGTGTAGTGTAGAGTAAAGAAAGTATAATGTAAAGTGTAGAGTGTAGAGTAAAGAAAGTAAAATGTAACGTGTAGAGTGTAGAGTAAAGAAAGTATAATGTAAAGTGTAGAGTGTAGAGTAAAGAAAGTAAAATGTAAAGTATAGAGTGTAGAGTAAAGAAAGTATAATGTAAAGTATAGAGTGTAAAGTAAAGAAAGTAAAATGTTAAGTATAGAGTGTAGAGTAAAGAAAGTAAAATGTAAAGTTTAGAGTGTAGAGTAAAGAAAGTGTAATGTAAAGTGTAGAGGGTAGAGTAAAGAAAGTATAGAGTAAATTGTAGAGGGTTGGGTGCAGAGTAGAGAATGTTTACAGTAAAATGCAGAAAAAAACGTATAGCGTAAACAGTGGAATAAGAAAAGTAGGGTGTTTTAAATGTACAGTGTGTATAAGTATAAAGAAAGTATATAAAGTATGTTGCAAAGTACAGGTAAATATAAAGTGTGTAGTTTATATATACTATATATTGCAGCGTATGTACAGTGTATACGTATGACGAAAGTAGAGTATATAAAGTATGTTGCAAAGTACACGTAAATATAAAGTGTGTAGTATATATACTATATATTGCAGAGTATGTACAGTGTATACGTATGAAGAAAGTAGAGAATATAAAGTATGTTGCAAAGTACACGTAAATATAAAGTGTGTAGTATATATACTATATATTGCAGCGTATGTACAGTGTATACGTATGAAGAAAGTAGAGAATATAAAGTATGTTGCAAAGTACAGGTAAATATAAAGTGTGTTGTATATATACTATATATTGCAGCGTATGGCGGAAAAATTGTAGTAAACTACTAACTGAACCTTTCAGTTTAGAAGCTGCAGCTAGCTGGGGCCAGTATTGAGTAACTTTCATCTCATTCATAATCCTTTCATTTTCCTTTCCACTCTCCTCCTTTAAAAACACTTCATCTTTCTTAGCCGTCTCATCTTTCGTATAATTAAAGGTGATTTCATGAACTGGTTCAATGTTTAATTCCTCCGGAGTGTCTAAAAATAGTACTGGAGCAGGAAGAACCGGTTCAAGATCTCCAAGAGCAAGTTCAGGATCTTCATGAGTAGGTTTAGGATCTTCAGGAGCAGTTTCAAGTTTCTTTGGGTCCTGCTCTCCGTTTTCCTTAGCGGGTTGATTTCTAACCTTTGATCTAGACTTTTTCCCTTTTTGTATTTTAATTTTCTCCTTGCCTTGATTTTGCTTTGAGACATCTTCTTGTTCTTTTTCATGAGCACCTGGACGGCATGGTCGCCAAATCCTGGCTTTAACTGCTACTTCATTTTTTGGGGGGTTTCTGTTTTTCTCCACAACTTTTCCTTCCTTGTCCTGATATTGTTCTTCCTGGTTTGGAGGATTTTCCTCTTCTTTTAGTGGAATTTCCGCATTCAATTTCTTCTGTATGTTTCCGTCCTGATTTTTAGATTTTCGGTCTTTCTTTTGTTTTCCTAAGTTTTCCTTGGTATGTCCTTCTTCATTCAGGGGTTCTGTCTTTTCCGGGGTTTCTTCTTCTTTCTGTTTTTCTTTTGTATCCTTTTGTTTGTTATTCTTTCTATGAGGCTTTTTGCGTTTTTCTTGGTTCTTCCTATCCTTACTTTTATCTCGAGATATTTTGATTTCTCCTTGTATCTCTTTTTTCTGTTTATCCTTGAGATTTGATCCCTCGTGCGTCTCATCTCCCCTACTCCAGCTGCTCCCGGAGTCGGACGAATACACTGAATCTGGAGATAACAATCAAACCTTAAATTCATCCTTCCGTCTCGTCACGAACCAGAGTATTAAGAAATATTTTACAAAACATGATTCTTAAAAAAAGATTTAAAATTCCACCTAATTCAACGTTGTGAAACCTTGACGTATAGTGCATTAAGACGACACTATAGTACAGTAAAATGAGAAATCCAAGCCAAGGTTGGATAAATCCACGATAAATATTCTGTTCCGGATCCAAGATTTCTCTAACTACTACTACTTGAATACTAAGATGCATGAGACAGACATAATGGCTAATTATATGCTATATAGTACGGAGTAAACAAACCAAGGATAAGGATGGGTTTGATTGTGCCTAAGGAGAGAGAAGAGGGAGGAGATATTTGCATATTGAAGAACGATGCTGGCATATTGCGTGGAAATGCGCGATGTACAGAGTACACTCTTTACTGAGTTTGAAGTTTGGGGGATTTTTGTGTGATTGTCCTGAACCCCACTGGAACCCACTATGTTGAAAGTTGAGAAGAAACTGAGTATGGTTCCTCATTCTTGACCAGACCCATCCCCCGGCACCCACTTATACCAATTTCACCCAGCAGCTGGAGTAGAGGTTGAGGATACTAGGATACAGTTAGATATAGAGTAGAGATGGTTTAGATACATGGATACAGTTAGATATAGCGTAGAGAGGGTTTAGAGACAAGGATAAAGTTAGATATAGAGTAGAGAAGGTTTAGATACAAGGATACAGTTATATATAGAATAGAGAAGGCTTAGAGACAAGGATACAGTTAGGTGTAGAGTAAAGAGGATTTAGATACAAGGATACAGTAAGGTGTAGAGTAAAGAGGATTTAGATACAAGGATACAGTTATATATAGAGTAGAGATGGTTTAGATACAAGGATACAGTTAGATGTAGAGTAGAGAGGGTTTAGATACATGGATACAGTTAGATATAGCGTAGAGAGGGTTTAGAGACAAGGATAAAGTTAGATATAGAGTAGAGAAGGTTTAGATACAAGGATACAGTTATATATAGAATAGAGAAGGCTTAGAGACAAGGATACAGTTAGGTGTAGAGTAAAGAGGATTTAGATACAAGGATACAGTAAGGTGTAGAGTAAAGAGGATTTAGATACAAGGAAACAGTTAGATGTATAGTAGAGATGGTTTAGATACAAGGATACAGTTAGATGAAGAGTAAAGAGGATTTAGATACGAGGAAACAGTTAAAAGAGAGGATTTAGATAGATACAAGGATACAGTTATATATATAGTGTAGAGAAGGTTGGGATAAATGAATGAATGAAATCATATATATTTCTTCATTTGTATCTTTTGGTACATATCTTATGACATACGAAAATTATATCTATATTTATATAAGATGTATTGAAGGGAGAGGGGGGGGGGCCTATCATAACATGACGTCCAATGATTAGCTGTTAGATAAGTTCTAAACCCTAGGGAAGGACAAATTACAAATGATATATCTGAGAAACTATTATACCGCCGCCTATGATAGAATAGAAGTTCGCGGATGTATCATTTCAGGGTTCCTCCTGATAGGGACTGTAAAGGAAAAATGAAAGGAGGTATAACCTAAACATTTTAGGAGTTGATCGAGACCCAGTTCTATCTTATGTTCTGTCTCGAGAAATTGATTTATAACTGTGTAAAATTTCAGTGTTCCTGAAGAGTGAAAAAGTTTAACTTGATATTGCGGTGCATATCCGTCCTGGTAAGATATTGAGGTTGTTTTTAAGATACACCCTGTACAGCTGGAGACACCTTTTACGTGCTTTTTAACTTTTTTTATGTTAAAGTTTGTCTATTAATAATCCAAGACCTTTCTGCATGTATCACCTTGTTCATTATAAATGTTCATGGTCTCCTTCCAAAATTGAGGTCTGTACTTTCAAGAACGTCTAGTTACCTATTTTACTCTTTATTTATGTTTTGAGAAACCCGCAACTCGCGAACACAAAATTTTATATATATTAATTTTCGTATAAATTTAATTTCTCGAGACAGGAACACCAGATAGAACTCTCCTGGGTCTCGATCAACTTCTAAAATACTTAGGTTTCAGCCTATACACCCTTTCATTTTTTATTTACAGTCCCTTTAAAGGGATTGTCGATGTAATTTCAATTAACAATGAGGAAGATGTTATCGATTTCTTCTTTAAAAGAAATGTTTCTGTCAATTTCCTTCCTTGTCACGGCTGCATGAAACCGCGAGTCACAAAATTGAAAATCTAAAATTTAGATATAAAAAAGAGAATCTAGATAAATAGATAAGATAGATAAAGTTTATTGCTAAATACATGTATCTGTGTACAGAACAGAACGAGTTTACAATTACAAATTGGTGATTATATTAACAGTACAAGTATAAAGCAAGTAGGTGGAAAATAGCTCTTGGCTGTTTTGATTATTTTTTCCACCTAATTTCAATAATGATAACAAAACATCTTAAGTAAATCTATCCATTTATTATATTTGTTAAGACAAAGGTCTATAGGGTACCGTGGTGAACTAGACATGTAAGATCTAGTAAACCTTAAACCAGTGGATATCAGGATACATCCTTGAGATCTAGTAAACCTTAAACCAGTGGATATCAGGATACATCCTTGAGATCTAGTAAACCTTAAACCAGTGGATATCAGGATACATCCTTGAGATCTA